CAGTAGAGCTCAAACTGAATCAATTCATCCCTCAATAACTATTTTATGGTTATAAAAACCATCTTATTATGTAGAAATACAGTATAAAGATCAGGGGTGCAAAAGTCTTCTACACCCCCCCCAAAAAAACATCAATCATATCCTCATAAACTCGCAAAAATATTTAGGAAAAAAGCAACATTTTACTCATCAAAAATTTGGATTATTAGCAGACAAAATCCATCCTCCTCTCTTTCCTCAAAAAGACTTCCATTACTCTGTCGTACAGATTATCCTTAAGATTCAGAAGTCCTTTTCTGTTTAAGCTAACGCAAAAAGTCCAGCCTGCCCTGTCAGATTTCTTTCTTTGCTAGCTTTGGCTGGTATGCTATCTGACTATCCAATAAGCGGCTGTGAATACGGTGACATTCCCTAAGGCCTTCTAGAAGGCCCTGGTGTCCCCAACTTAAAATCTGATTGGTTAAACCAAAAGTTTAGTCCACATTTATTTTCTGTTAGGGGATGTTCTTTGTGAAGACCTCCAGGCAGACATCTTTGACTTTGACCCTGCCTAGCAACAAGTGATGGCTGAAATGTGGTTGGTTAAATGTTTTAATATGAAAATACATGTCTGGAAGCATTAGAAATGATGGATTCTTTTAAATTGATTTGATTGATTTTATGGAGGGGGGACAGCACATGATAGGGTTAAATAATATACTAAATGTTATACTAAATATTCTGCGTTTTTTTAGACTTGCAGTCGTTTTCTTTCTTTTTTCCGTCCATAACTTAGTGTAAACACTATTACTTGTGCCTCTACTTGGCTTATTGTGTTTTTATCTCACTGCCCGTGCGTATTTTTTAGCCCTGCTGCTGTAACATGTGAGTTTCCCCTCTGTGGGATCGATAAAGTCCTCTAATCCGATCTGATATCGACTGTTTTCTTTGGGCTCACCTCCCCCTTCTCGTTCCTGATTCGCCGGTTGAACTCTTTGCCGTCGATGCAGAGGAAGTCGTCTCCGGGGTGGATGATGCCGCACTTGGCGGCGATGGCTCTGGCCGTGTTGATGTTGTCCCCGGTTACCATCCGCACGGTGATCCCGGCACGCTGGCACTTCCTGATGGCGTCGGGCACCTTATGAAACACGCACGCCGTTACTCACACACCAGAGATGTTCAGTAACCAAGTAGAGCTACTTAACTCATTGACTGCCAGCCATTTTCAGAACAGAGAGTCCCATACTGCCAGAGTTTTTTGAGCATTTTGACTGATTTTTCAAGAGCCACAGAATAGTTTGTGCTATGACTATGTAAACACCGAACACACCAAAAGAAAGAGTAGACTCTCTTCTTTCATCAGGAAAAAAAAATGTTGTTTCTACCTTATTCCGTTCTTCCTGGACTTGCGTCTCACCGGCGACATGTTCTCTCATAGAACCGTTCCCTTTTTCTTATTTGCCTACAGTCTATGCTCATCTCCCATCAAAAGTGGCACTGCCCCCTAGAGGGTCAATTTGTTACTACATACTCTGTCTAGAAGCCGATATTTACGGACAAGCTTTAGCAGATCGTCCCCCAGACACTCTCGTTGAAAAACATAAAAGACGTCTATAGACGTCTTTGGCAGCGAATGACTTAAGTACTGTACTTAAGTACCAAAATGCAGTATCTGTACTTTATTGGAGTATATATTTTTTCCCCTACTTTTACTTTTACTCCACTACATATTTTGGATTAATTTTATACTTTTACTCCGATCGATTTTTCATGGGCTAAATCGTTACTCGTTACTGATATGTAAACGTAATGATAGATAGCTCTGTCAGGGTTTGGGAAGCTGGCTCCTCATTGGCCGATTTGAACGATCAAGCATAGCCTATTAAAAAAAGCCTCCCGAAAGATTGTTAATTATATCCTTCAAAAATTCCCCATCTAATCTGAAGAAGCATATCAAGGTAAGTGAAAAAATACAATGACATATAAGCTAGTAAATAAACGCTAGTTCAGTTCTCCCTGTTCACTCAGGACGTGGCAGCTAACGTTAGCTAAAGCTAAACTAGCTGGATAGCTGTATGATAACGTTAGCTAAAGCTAACCTTGCTGGATAGCTGTATGATAACGTTAGCTAAAGCTAACCTAGCTGGCTAGCTGTATGATAACGTTAGCTAAAGCTAAGCTAGCTGGCTAGCTGTATGATAACGTTAGCTAAAGCTAACCTAGCTGGCTAGCTGTATGCTACATGCTAGCATAAAGGCTCAGCTCAGGATTCTGACTAATAAATAATAGTAGATGAAGTGCTGTTGATGCTAATGCAGATGTAGTTTTCTGTTTTTGTAAACACCAGTATGGCCTTTCACACGTTTGAAATAATATAAACAATATCTATCACACTTTTGACTGCCTTTTTTTAATATACACAGTACTGTACTTTTACTTCGATACTTGAGTAGCAATTTTTTAAATACTTCTACTTGCAATACTTAAGTACAAAAAAAATTGAGTACTTCAGTACTTCCACTTAAGTATGGAGTTGAAAGAACACTTCAACTTTTACTCAAGTCAATTTTTTTACATAGTACTTGTACTTCTACTCCAGTACTTTATACATCTCAGTCACACACCTCAGTAGGGGTGGGACGGTTCACGAAATCCACGGTTCGGTTCGCTTCACGGTTTCGTGGTCACGGTTTTCGGTTTGGTTCGGTATATGTTGATTGTTAGGAAAATCTATCATGTCTTGTATAGTCAGGTTAAAACTGAAAGAAAAAAGCAGTCTGACATTTGATCCATTATTGTGACAGTCTGAGGTTAAAGTAGGTGAGATTCTGGCAGAGAGGAAACAGTGCTAATTCCAACATGTGCTTCCCTCTAAATGCAAAGTGGTCCATACAGCAGAACTATAAACTGCTGTTGGCGGTCTGATTTTTATGGGCTACGCTGCTTCTTCTTCTTCTTGTTTCCTACTGGAGGTTGGCTTTGGGTGCAGTAGCGCCCCCTTCTGCTCTGGAGTGTAAACGCTTCCCTCTGAGAAAAAGGAGCAGCAGGAACCCAACGCAACACACGCGAACCGAACCGAGACAGAACCCAACGGTTAAGACGGTTTTCAGAAACCGTCCCATCCCTAACAAACACACATATATACGGTGTTTGACCGCTCACCTCGGGTCGCACCGGGTCTTCTATCCCCACCACAGAGATGCAGGTCAGTTCGGTCACGATTTCGGCCTCGGTTTCCCAGTCCGGCTCGGGGCTGGAGGGCAGGTCTCGGTAGGCGATGCAGATGGTCCTCAGCCCCTCGCACGCCATTGGCTCGATCACCTGGGGGGGGGCGGGTATAGACTCAGACTCAGACTTCCTTTATTGTCATTGTACAAAAATCACCAGGTGAATCTTGACGACGAAATGTCGATTACTTGGCTACCAGTGTGACAGAGCTAAGACCTTATTCCTACACAATAAATATGTTCTCTATAACTAAGAGCTAGATATATACATATATGGGGATGTTAGGGGATATTAGGGTATATTGGGGGATATTAGGGGATATTAAGGGATATTAGGGTATATTAGGGTATTCAGGCAGCATCCTGTTGTGGGCATTTACAGATATTTCACATAAAATAGGAAAAATAGAGTTACCAAACCAGAAAAGAAGCACCTTCCATGGGACTTTTCGGGGTTTTAGCCAAATGTGGGGTCACAACATCTACACACTATGTGGTTTTCACTCTTTCACACACACACACACACACACACACACACACACACACACACACACACACACACAGGAGTGGTGGTGTAGTGGTTAGCATAGCTGCCTTCCAAGCAGTTGACCTGGGTTCGATTCCCGGCCAAAACAGCTCCTCCCTACCCTGTAAGTCGCTTTGGATAAAAGCGTCTGCCAAATGCATGAACATGAACATGAACACACACACACACACACACACACACACACATATCCTTGTCTTTAGAAGAAGCACCTTCCATGGGACTTTTCGGGGTTTTAGCCACATGTGAGGTCACAAAATCCACACTATGTGGTTTTCACTCTTTCACTCACACACACACACACACACACACCTATCCTTGTCTTTATGGTATTGTGGGGACACAAAACCAGGCCATGCTTCCTGGGGACCAACCTTTCTGGTGAGTTTACAGCTGTAGGAGCTAACAGCTATTTCACATCAAATAGGCAATCAGGCAAAGTAGAGTTCCAAAACCAAACAAGAAGACCCTTCCATGGGAATTTTCAGGGTTTTAGCCAAATGTGGGGTCACAACATCTACACACTATGTGGTTTTCACTCTTTCACTCACACACCTATCCTTGTCTTTATGTTATTGTGGGGACACAGGACCGGGTCATGCTTCCTGGGGACCAACCTTTCTGGTGAGTTTACAGCTCTGAAAAAATTTAGGAAGCATCCTGTTGACAAGCCTGAAGCTGTTGACTTTTCATGGTTTTAGCAAATGAAGATCACAACATACACACTATGTGGTTTTCACTCAAATACACACACAAACACACACACAAACACACACACACACACACACACACACACAGTCAGTTACCCAGACACACGCCTCCTTTAGCTACTGTCCGGTTGCTGCTCATTTCTGAGAAGCTCACTAATGTTCCTGCTACCATGTTGTTGCTTTTGTTCCTTGTTTGTTCTTTTTGTCTTCCCTTTGTCCTTTTGCTGGAGCTCAAACAGGTTCTCAGTCCCGATCGCCCACCAGAAACTGTTTCTTTAGTACAGATACAGCAGCTGGTTGTGTGGTTTTGTTGTCTTTCTGTTTTCTCTTTGTCTCTCTGCCTAAAGGATCTTTCTCCTTTTCGGGTTTGTTTTGTTTTGCTTTGCTCTTCTTTCAGCACTTCTGGACATATGTACATTTTGGTAACACAAATAAATAAATAAATAAAGCAGTTTTGGGTAATCAACGGGGGCTTCTCACCAACAAAGCCTCTCTTGGCAAAGCATATTTTCAATCCTTATCCTGAGCCAAATTCAGGTGAGTCAGTTTTATATCCATCCACAAATAAAACAAGAATAAATCCACGTTTTCTGCATTGAAAAGGATAAAGCAACGCCTTGATTTGTATATAAGTGACTATGACCAATAGGCTGAAGTCTCCACCAGATATTCAAGGTGCAACAGTGATTGTGGCAAAGCGGCTTTCTTACGAGTGATTTCACAAAATAACCTCTGGGTTTAATGGTGCCACTGTCTGTGACAGTCTGAGGGCGTAATAATCTCATTTGTTTTGTTTTTGGAATGTTTTCAAGTGAGCTGCTGGTTCTCGAACGCTGCCTTGTGTTCGTCTCTGAGGCAGAAAATGTCATTGCTCACGGGTGAAATCACTGCACATGCCTCAGAGGACGATGATTACATAAGAGAGGTAAAAATAAAACAGTGGAATAGGAGCAAATGAGTCCAAACAATGAACCAGAAGCAACTTTCAATGCCGCGAACAAGCCTCACGCTGAGAATCTGATGAGAGAAATGTTCATATTTCACAGCCTCTGCACGAAACATGAAGAGAGAATCAGAGTTTGAATTATATTTTTTATATATTTTTAACAGCAGCTGTGCTTGAAAATGGTGAAATTATTAAATCCACTTTGATTGTGTTTCAATGGGAGATGAACGTTTTGGAGGCTGAGGCCTAAAAGCTGAAATAAGGAGTGGAGATCTTTCTGTTTGAGTGGATAACAACCCCCATCAGAAACACCTCTTAGCCCTGTAATGCCAAATGTATCATATTTGATTCATACGGTTTCTGAAATGTTTTGCGTCTGACACCTTTTGCATAATTTAATGGTAAAAACTTTGCTCAAAATCCTATTGTACACAATCAGATACACCTGATAACAGGGGGCAGAACACCACACAAAAAATAATCTTGACTTATCGCATAGTAATAAATTATTAACATTAAAAATTTATTTGAGTTTTTTCTTTTTCATATTTTGTTAAAAGGCCAAATAAAGACTTAAAACAAAAAAAAAAGTATTTTTTCTGTTTTGTTTTATTCTTGGATCAGGCTTATCGCATAGTAATAAATTATTAATATTAAAAATGTATTTTTCTTTTTTCTTTTTACACATTTTGTTAAAAGGCCAAATAAAGACTTAAAACAAAAAAAATTACATTTCTGTTTTGTTTTATTTATTGGATCAGACTTATCGCATAGTAATAAATTATTAATATTAAAATGTATTTCTGTTTTTTCTTTTTACATATTTAGTTAAAAGGCCAAATAAAGACTTAAAACCAAAAAAAAGTCATTTTCTGATTTTATTTTGTATTTGGATCTGGCTTATCGCATAGTAATAAATTATTGATATAAAAAAATATATTTTTGTTTTTTCTTTTTACATATTTTGTTAAAAGGCCAAATAAAGACTTAAAAACAAAA